GTGTGTGTGTGTGTATAGTGTGTGTGTGTGTGTGTGTGTGTGTGTGTGTGTGTGTGTGTGCGTGTGCATGTGTGTGTGTGTGTGCGTGCGTGCGCGCGTGCGCGCGCGCGCGTATGTGTGTGTCTGTGTGTGTGTGTGATCACGAGTGAATAAACAAATAATTGAATAGTTTTTATTTACTCATATTGTCAGCGGAAACATTACAAGATAAGTGATATAAGATACAGCGTACAATATCAGGCATATAACACAAATGTTATATTATCCGTACTAATATACTTAATTATATTATGCATTCGTGAATAATATGCCGCTATCTGCATAATAATTCACACTTTTACTTCATTACACATTCACTACAATTGCATCAGTCTGTATTATGACGCTCCTGATGGGATCAGGATTGAATAATAATAGATCTAGAATCTAGATCTAGAATAGATATTATTATTATTCACTCCTGATAAGATGTCATTCTCCGCCAATAATGAAGCTAGCTTAGCTATATCAATAGCTAATCATACATATGATGTATTCTTAGCTATTGGATGTATTCTTAGCTCTTGGATGTATTCTTAGCTCTTGGCTATATGCATTGTTATACTGACCATAAGCGTTTGTAGAACGTTTGTAGCACAGGAATGGCTGCCTAGAATTAACTGCCTATCAAACATGAACTAAGAATATTTAATTCTAAACTAGATCTTATTAACATAGTCTAAGATAATATTAGCATATATGCTATCAATCACTGAAGCGGATGGGTCAAGTGGACCCCACTATAGACTGCTCAGTGCATGGTGATCAACATCCTAAATTTTGCCCCATATTTATTCGGTAAAATCTGTATAAGGAAATAGGGCGATGGATCGTTCGGACTTTGACGAGCGCAATGGCAGCTTTGATGTTAGTTAATAAAAATGGTATCCTTCGATATTAACGCTGTCCGCTTAGATGACCTATAACACAAGTATAAAATATTAATATACTATCAAGAGCCTGTAAAAAAGACCTTCTTTATACCCTCTTGATACTATCTATGTAATGTGAAATACTTGTAAATAATATCTATATAGTAACTACACAATGTCTATAAAATTAGGCGCAAATAAAAGCACAATTTGTTTTTATTCACCCCTAATAACAATGTAGATCATATCAGGAATGTATAATATAGACACTATACATATTAGACATCTATATTATACACTCCCGATAATATGAGTAGTAGAAGGTAGGCCTATAGTACCGTATAATATCTCCTATAATCTGCGGTCGCTCACACGTTGATTGACATTTATAGAACTTTCGATGGTGGTAATACATGTGGCTACATGCGACTTGGCTGGAGTTTGTCGGCATCACTGACGACAAATATCTTGCGCACATTATATCGCCCGCTGCCGCCACCGCCGCCGTCGCCACCGTAGTAGCCGTCGAAGCCGCCGCCACCGCCACTCGGCGGCACCGACAGACGCCGGTTACAGATGAAGTGCAGTAATTCGAGGATCGTGAGAAGACTAGCGCCAGCAAAGGCTCCCATCAGCCCGCCTATGTCACCTGCCAAGGATCATCAAGTAGAGCATACGTGATCGTACGCGAATGTTTATCACCCATTACAATTAACCTAACCTATAGGCCTGTACTCTGATTATACATAATAATTGACCTATCCGTGTCTAAGTGGGAATTATAATTGTTCCATAGACGTAGTTTCACCATAGATATATACAAACACGTATGTGTTTGTATACAATATGTCTTTGGAATATGCATGTGCAAATACTGCGAATAAAATATGCGTAAATAAATGCAAATATGTGATATATCTAGGAGGCATGCAACAGTAAGCCTCCGCAATTGGTCGCCGGTCGGCCATTTTTGTGTATAAAATGTGGTCAGACAACTTTGTCAGCCATTCCGCTCAGTAGAAGTAGGCAAAAGTTTGCGAGCGGAGCATAGAGCATGAATCTGTAGTTATTTAACATGAATAAAGTGTATGTTGTGTAAGCGAAGTAACAGTGTGAGTATTTTTAATTAATATCTGTTCGATGCTTATTCCGGCTTGCTGCCTATATGGACGCGATCTACTGTTGTTCACCACCTCTAGGGGTTCACACAATGACTGACGGCTTCGCAGGCCTCGCCTAAGACACCTGCCGGGTAAACACGCATTAACACGTGTGGCCGTGCGTAAATTTGAACTGTTCGTCACACATCGCCTCCATGCATTCATTTTAGCTATAATAATGAATTATATCATATTAAATATAGAAATAAGTATAAAGTAATAATTCCATATAATTGAATATCCATTTCTTGCTTGTTGGAACGAAAAACTAACTCTGGTTCTATATGAGGAGAGCGCAAAATAGCCTTCCGCCAATTGTTCACCAAAGTTGCACTATTTCATCTGTGGAAAAAGCCTTCTTTTAATTTTGCGGTAATATTCGGCGCTGGTGTGCACTAACTTGTATTGTGCACGCACGGTAGATACATCCTGAATGTCTAGAGCGCGTGAGAAGTAAAACTGGTCTTGTGTCATTCCGTCAAGTGGCGTAGACACAGTCACCGCATCCGAATACATGTTTGAAATTCTCAAAAACAGTCTAGTACAAGTTTCAAGTGAAGATTGGATTTCCGTAGTCATTTAGCATGAATAAAGTGTATGTCGCGTATGCGCCATAAAACTTCAAGTATTTACTGTTGTACAACACCTATTGGTCACTCAAACGTATCGCTAAAAGAATCTTTATACATAGACATGCACATGTCTTTCCTACACAAGTACAGTTTCACTGTATAAATACCACTTAGCGAAAACGTTGAAGCTGTTCCTTAGAGTAAGGTGTTCGTCGAGTGCATGGCTTTACTGTAAAAGTGTCACTTCAAAAAAATGCCCAAAGTGTTCGTTATAACACTATAACCTACGTAACCTACAGAGGTAAAAATTGCGTTTGTAATTTGCGGATCGCGAGATATGTAAAATAAGGTATATAATGCGCGTTGCTCACAAATCAATTCTTCGGCGGAGTAGGAAGGTTCGTTCCACACTGTCCTGTTCGCCACAGATGAGTAGTGCACCTCCAGTGCGACCAGGTTCTGCCTTGAATGCGAAACATATCGTGTGTATCGGTAAAGCTGCGTTAATTATTAAATATGGCTGATAGGGTCTATAGCCTCGTTCACACGAGACCTCGTATTTATGAAATACGGCATTCGCGAAATACCGAATCTGAGACAAATACGCGGCCG